TAAAAGCGGTAAAATCTCTGTCACAAGATAAAATAATTTTAATAAAGACAGATGTGAGATATAAAATCCTAATCTCTCAAATAATAATTATTAGGATGTATATACTGTATTTATTCTCATAATTAAACAAATTTAGAATAGGACAATAATCTACTGATCTAACACGTTAAATAATATCTGATTGTAAAATAAATTCAATCAACACTTCACCTTTCGCCTTTGGAACACATGCCTCTTGTCAAACGCCTGCTTGTCCTCATCTTCGTACACCAGGATGTAATCGATCCTCCGCTGGCCGTCGTTGAAGAATAACGAATCGGGTCTGTTATTATACTCGACCTGAGGGCAGAAACATAGCCCATCGGGTAAGTCCGCAGCGTGATACTCGTACACCTCTTCCTCCATAATGTTGTACATGCTAACAGAACCAAAAWCTCCAGTTTACAGACGGAGCTATTCTTAAAACTCTGGCCGAGGCGGGCTGATTTCATTTGGGATGCAGATTATTAAAAGGAAACGGGAAGAGTCAACAAACAATGGGATACCCGCCCTTCGTCTTCCTCCCTCCCTCCCACTAGCCACTTATCAGGATTTGTGACACAGCTGGGCATGACTGCAGCAGGTAAGGGGTATGTTCATAAAAATAACTGGAACCGTGTTAGCATACAAGCAATACATACAGATTACACTCACCTGTTGCACTTTGGTTAATATTGTTTTTTCGTTTATAGACTCATACGTGGGTAAAAACTCTTCAGGGTACACTGAAAGTACAAAAAAAGGGGTAAAAATATGATTAGAATAGAAATAGATTTGCCCTAAAGAAGGAGGAACTGCATTGTGAATTAATTGCATCCTGTTATATGGAAACAGAAGTGGACACATCTGTTAGTTATTAATGCTTAATAAATGTGTTTAAATGTTACGAAACATTGTGTTTTTTGTTGCTCCGGTTATTTTTTCTATCTAACCAAGATTAAAAACCTTATATCCAGTCAAAAAAAAAATCTTTTTTGATCTTGTTTTGAGACTGATTTACTAAACAAGAACTGATTGTGTAAGAATAATCATCTTGTTTTCAGAATGTGTAAGATTATTTGTCTTGTTAGTCTGAAAATTTGACTCAAATTAAGTCAAAAATTCCTGCCAGTGGATTTTACTTGGTAAGATTCTTGAAATACTTGATTTGACACATTTTTTTTCTTATTTCAAGAATCTTACCGAGTAAAATTTGCGTACTCCGTTGGCAGAAATTTTTGACTGATTTTGAGTCAAATTTTCAGGCAAACAAGACAAATAATCTCACATATTCTGAACACAAGATTATTATTCTTACACAATCAGTTTTTGTTTAGTAAATCAGTCTCAAAACACGATCAAAAATACTTTTTGGCTGATATAAGGTTTTAAAATTTGGTTAGATGGACAGTTTTTGCAGTTTAATACTATTTACCATCAGGGCGCTGCTGTCTTTACAAATTCTTTGTATCTGTGCTTTGATTGTGTCCTTGTGACCTGGACATTGTTCCTGTTCTGCCTCGGTTCACTGAAGCAGCACAAATCACTGCTCATATTTGCTCTTGCTGGTACTTTTTAACCTCTGGTCAAGATTTCCCATTCATCTCATTTTATTAACTACTTGGAAAAAGACGAAAAGTAGGGCAGAGACTCCTACATCTTCTCAAACGCTCAGCATATAATACAGCAACACTGACCGCATCGACACCAGCAAGCGGCAAAAAGAATAAATGTGTAAAATACTGTTAGCGCAACTGTATAACTGCGRTGTGGCCTAGCTTTGTTTTCACAAATCATTTAACAGAACGTCCATAAAGGAAAGTCTTGCCATGTAAAGCAGAACACTAACTAAAACCAGATGTTGTTTTGAAAACATGAGTCATAGGAACAAATTGTGGAATCCCTGCTCMTCAAAAAAARGRAAAAAAAAWACACTGACCTCAGACAAAGTCAGAGTTTTGACTCAAACACTGCCTTCTAGCTGTATGTTTTTCTTGCTCTTTAATGTCGTGCCTCAACATGTTTCTTGTGATAAATCTGAGATTAGGCATATAATCTGATCTCTTGCAATGTTATCTTCCAAATAACAGTGAAGTGTGAAGAAAGCGCCATCGAAAGCCAGCAGGCCTCGCTTTYATGCCTTCGCCGAGCACCAACTTCCTCTTCTGTGAGACCTGCACTCAGCACGAAGTAACGAGGTCGATGTCACCCGACAGGAAAACGCAGCTCCGTTCTTTGATGGGCACCTCCATTTTACCATCATATCGTGCGTGAAGATGATTTGACCTTAGCCCCAGTTTAACACAAGTGTTTGATGAAGCAACTGGCAGGAAATGATTTTCAGCACTGAACACAGAAAAATATCTGCAACATCTGTAAAAAACTGACCTAAAATAACTTGCTTCAAAATTAGCAACGCGGGGCCCTGTGGGGAAAAAAAAATTCCCAGCAAACTATAAATTGCACAGAAGTTCATGTGATAAAGGCCTTGCATTCCTTAATTCCTTTAAGGCTTAAAGGGATGCACATCAACTAGCTTTTTAATGGGATCAACTTGATAAATGATGGARTGGTAGTCATTTTGGTCACTGTTACAACACACAATTAGTTAYTATAAGATGGAGTGATTGACTCAACTGAGATAAGATCTGAGGAACCATGAATGRCACACTGTATGACTGAATGTGTCCTTTAAAGGCACAGTGTTTAGGATTTTGTCAATTCTTTTAGCCGAAATTGAGATAATCACTAAATACAATAATAAAAAAAACATGTCTAATC